CGCCTGCGGGCGCCCGGCCGGGGGCGAGGAAGCGCGGAGTCAGCTGCTCCTGGAGCCCCGCAGGCTGCAATGTGACACCCACAGCCGCGGGAGGGGGGTGGGGGAAGGCGGCGCCCGGAGCCTGGGACGGGAGACTCGGGGAGATGGAGACCGAGGGCAGGGCGAGGGGAGGAAGCGCCAGGCCTCCCGAGTGCTCGCGGGGAGACGGAGAGGGGCGTCACGGGGGCGCACGGAGACGCGGGGAGCCCGGGAGCGAGGAACTGGAGTTAGCCTGAGCCGTGGAGGGAGAGAAACTTGAGCGCGCCGGAGGGGTAGAGGTACGCGGGGAGAGGTGAGTTTGAAAAGGACCCGGGAAGGTGGGGAGAGACGTCGGGACGGCGGAGAGGTGGGAGGTTCAGAGGCAGAAAGGCGGGAGACAGCCGAGAAGGCCAGCAGCCTCTCCGGGAGAGAGAGGGTCGGAGGCCACGGAGCCCCCCAGCCCTCCAGATCAAAAGAGGAGGCTCAGACACAAAGGAAAAGGCCCAGAGCTGGAGCCTGGGGAGCAGGTGGAGGAGGGACCCAAAGGGACTGAAGTCCTGTGGGGTGCAAAGGGCCTGAGGCAGGAGAGGTGTTTGAGGTGCTGCTAGGTGGGGTCGGCCAGGAGGTGAGGGCTGGGTGTGGAGACAGAAGTTGGGGAGGGGTGGATGCCCTGGGAGCTTGTGGGTCTGGGGAGCAGGGCCTGAGTGTGGCCCCAGCGCCCCACCCCGACCCCCACCCCTTCCTCCTGTGGCTGCCAGTGGAAATGACTGCCGCCTAGAACTCCCTGCCTCTGGGCTCTGGCCCCACACTTCATGCTGTGCAGCGTGGGCAAGTGACCGGAGAAGGGGCTCTGGGTTTCTGGCACACCCATGCCCTGTTGCCCCGGGGACTCCTGGGTGCCCGGCCTCTGCTGGTACCTGAACTGCCTCAGGAAATCTCCCCCCCAAACCACCAGAAACAAAGATAGTCGCTTCCCCCTGTTCACAGAAGGAAACAGAGGGGCCAGGCTAGGGGCCCTGTTTGCCCGTGTGTGATCAGGAGCCAAGGGAAACAGATGGTTTCTGGGAGCCAACCGGCAGCAGGCCTGGCACTGCCCAGGGCGAAGAGTGCCCTGCTGGGCCTGAGCCTGCTGTCCCCTCAGTGTCCTCGGCCTGGGGAGGCTGCGTGGAGGTGGACTCGGAGACCGAGGCCGTGTACGGCATGACCTTCAAGATCCTGTGCATCTCCTGCAAGCGGCGCAGCGAGACCACCGCCGAGACCTTCACCGAGTGGACCTTCCGCCAGAAGGGCACTGAGGAGTTCGTCAAGGTGAGGGGGCCCGGCGTGGGCTCCCACGGGAGGCTGTTTGTCTGCAGTAATGTGCCACTCTCGATGACTTGGATTCCAATCCCAGCTCCCTCTCACCAGCTGGTGGTCGTGGGCCGGTCACTGAGCCTTTCTGAGCCTCAGTTTCCCCCTCTGTAAAGATGGCGTGGCGGTGGTCTCCCACTGGTAGGCTTGTTCCAGGCTTGACTCAGTGAGGCACTCGGCATATGTGGCTCAACGTAAACGTCACTGGGTCAGCGGTGCCAGCAGAATGCCCTGGTGGCCGGTGGGAGACCAGCTCCTCCTTGGCAGGCAGTGTGCTCTCAGTGGCAGGGCAGGGACAGCGTCCACTCTCAGGCCCACTGAGGGCTCAGGCTGCCAGGGAGGAGCTGCCGAGAATGGGGCCCCGAAGGCCAGTGGGGGCTCAGGAGAGCACCTGAGGCGCGTGCGTGTTGGGGGCCAGGCGTGGCCCCAACCCCCCCCCGTGTCCTCCCTCCTCGTCCCTCCATCCCGGGGTGTCCGGGCAAGGCCCCATTAGAGGCGCGGGGGCGGGGCGGCCCCCGGCAAGCCGGCTGCTGCCCCCAGATCCTGCGCTATGAGAACGAGGTGCTACAGCTGGAGGAGGACGAACGCTTCGAGGGCCGTGTGGTGTGGAATGGCAGCCGGGGCACCAGGGACCTGCAGGACCTGTCCATCTTCATCACCAACGTCACCTACAACCACTCGGGCGACTACGAGTGTCACGTCTACCGCCTGCTCTTCTTCGAGAACTATGAGCACAACACCAGCGTCGTCAAAAAGATCCACCTGGAGGTGGTAGACAAAGGTGAGCGGGACCTGCGGCCCCTCGTCCTCCCTGAGCCCACCCGTGGCCAGATGGAGGGCAGGTGGCGGGAGCGGACAGGCTGGCTCCGGGCCCGGCGCCAGCACCAGCGCCCACGGCAGCAGAGGAGCAGCTCCTCTTACCCTCATCCAGCCTGGCCTCCATTTGCCCTCCACAAGTGGGCCTCTCCCCATGGAGTTGGGGAGGGGGGTGCAAAACCCAGCTTTGCCACCTGTGCTGTGTGTCTTCTGGCAGGGGCCGTACTGCCTCTGGGCTGAAGGGTTGTTCTGTAGGGAACG